CAAGGGTGGGTGGGAAGTAGGGGAGCGGGGGCACCGGGCCAGGTAAGAACCCACTGTGGGGACGCCTCATCCAAGTTCCGGCACATAAAAGTGAGAGCGCTGGGCATACCTGGGACCCCCAGTTCCAAGGTCCTTCTTGGACAGCGCAGAGCCCAGGTGAAGCGGGTTTGGGGAGAAGTCACAAGGACAGCCTGAAAAGAGGGTATGGAGGGGAGCCTCCTACCCCGGGCACAGGGACGCCTCACCCTCATTTTTGCACCCACTGAACGTGCAAGTGCCTCCCCCTCAGTACTAGCGGACGGAGGCCAAGCAGGCGGGGCGGGGCTGCCGGGCGGTGACCTCCTTTCTCCGGGTTACAGAGTCCCAGCTCGCGTGAGAAGCGCGGCGACCCCTGCCCCGAGGTCACGGGGCCGGAAGGCCAGCGGCGCCGTAGGGCTGCCCCTTCCCCCGCCCAGAGTTTCCAGAGCCCCCGGAGCTCCCAGAGCCCCCAGAGCTCCGGCAACTAGCAAAAAAGTGCGTGCTCCCTACCGGGAGCAGAATAGAGAATGTGCATTCAAGCAGAGCGCTCACTAGCGGTTCGGGGCCGCCTCCAGGGGGTACCTCCAGCCGGGACCCACCAGCCCTCTAAGTTCCCTCTTGGTCCACGGGGTTGCTAGCTCTTTGGCAGGGCAGACAATAGGGCGGCGAGGGGGACTGCGCGGCTAGCTCCCGGTGGGCGAGGAAAAGGTTAGAGGGGAGCCCTCGGGCCGGGCAGGGGAGGGGGTCAAGGGCCTGAGGAGGGGCGCCCGGCACGGACGCCTCCCCAGGCTCGCGTGCTAGAGTCTGGAACCTCCCTCCAGGGGGCAGACGTCACGTGGCCCACCCCCGCTCCACTTGGCTTCGGGTGAGGTGCCGGGTAGTTGCGTGAGAAGGCCGGGGAGTCCCGCACAGTCACCCCGCCGCCCAACGGCCTGGCCCTAGTGGGGTCCCGGCACAGTCACGCGAGGGGGAAAGGGGAGTCGGGGACTGGACTCGTAAAGGGCTAGTCTCTAGCATAGCGAGGGGGTGGGGGGAGAGGAGGAGCGGAGCCCTGCGGGTGTGCTATGGGCTGTGGGGGTGGGGCGGTGCAAAGGGCCCAGGTTTGCGTGCGGAGCTGGGCATTTGTCTGCGAACGGGCGCCTGCGTGTGTCTGTATTTTTGGACCACGCCTGTGACAGGACACGCAGCCCCAGCGCCGCCCCGCTGGCCTGGCTGGCTGCTTCCACGCTGTCTCCAGCCTCTGCTGAGTCCTCCCCGTGTGGGCTGTCCAGGCAGAAAAAAAACGTATTTGCTCGTCTAGCTCAACCTATCCCCAACTAACCACAGCACCCGCCCCCCAAGCCGTGCTCCCCAACCCATCGAATGGCTCCACCATCCCTGAGCTGGCCCAGGTCAGAAAACAGCCTCATCCTGACCCCTGACCTCCCCCCGCTCAGCCAGAGGCCACCTCATGCATTGCACATTTATCAACCACCTACTTTGAGCCCAGGCACTGTTCTGGATGCTAGTGATTGATATGCAAGTGAACAAACCGACAACCTGCTCACATGGCACTTACATTCTAATTTGGTATGCGTCGGGGAAGACAAAAAATGTCAGAGAATGACAGGTACCACAAACAAAAACAAAGCAGAAAAGGAGTAGGGATCACGTGAGGAAAGGCTGCAATTCAAATTAGGGTGGTCAGGAAAGTCCTCACACAGAAAATGACACTGAGCAGAGGTAGGAATGTGGAATCAAGACTCAAGGTGCACAGATATCTGGAAGAAGAATGCACCTTGCAAGATATTAATAACTGGTAAAGGAGTTAAACCCAGCTGTATTATGCCCTGGCCAGTGTGGCTCAGAGGTTAGAGTGTTGGCCACACACCAAAGGGTCAGGGGTTCAATTCCCAGTCAGGGACATGTACCTGGGTTGCAGGTTTGAT